GGCCGCCTATTGAGGAACCCTGCTCTAGAGTATATATATATATATACATATATATACAAGAAAAAGACCTATAGTTCATTACATGTCTAACAAATTTGTTAACTATTAAGTAAAGGTTGAAAATGGCTTTGACTAAATTTATTTTTTAAGAACACGTAATCATAACTATAGAGGCTTTATGAAGCATATGGATTCAAACAGAGTGCTGAGGGTTCTTGATCTGAATGGAAGTGTCAAATTCCAGATGAGTGATTTTGCTAGTGTTTTAATTCAATACAAAGCAATGCAATAGAAAACACACATTTGAGAACATTTAAATCGGGTATCAAATCTTGCAACTGAAACCGATAGAGAGGCAATTAAAGTATTTTTGTACAAGACTTGAGCTGCTGTCCTTTGTTCAGCATTTTCTTACACTATTCTGCAGAAGAAGAAAAAACATCATATGGAAATGCCTTTTGCTCCTCAGCAGCACATTCCCCCAGAAATTTGCATTTTATAATTGCCTCTATTTTGTAAGATTAGGAAAGAGCCAACAGTCTGACCAACAATCTTATTGCTTTAGATACAAATGTAGAAATGGTTCTAACATAATATGATGTAGATTTCCTGCTGTTTTCCTACCACCAGAAAAGAAACATATTTATTTAGACCTTGTTAAAATCATTTGCATTGTTAATAAAACTTAACAGAATGGTATATAATTTTGGCAAATACATCAAGTATTTCATGAGAACTGCAACATATTTTGTAGCATTGTCCATGGTTTCTTTGTGTATTTTACAAATATTTGTTTAGTGCATCTTTATATAGATAGTGTATATGTTCAAGGTCACACATGCACAAAGGCACATATAAATTAATGTTTAAATAAAAGGGTTACTGTAATGTTTCTGTTTCTTGTTTTCCTTTTTTGCACATTTTACATGAATATTCTTCCCCAATTTCTTCCACCACCTTCCAAGAGTAATCATTGCTCCTGAAAGTCCCCACTGTCCATACATACATATGTGTTTTTGTTAATAGATTTCCATACAATTCTGATCATGCTGTTGGATCATATAAAAATACCAAAAAATAATTAATTAATTAATAAAAAATAATACAAATATACTGTTTAAGGGTTACTCTTTCATAGCCTGGTGCCACTCATAGTTATATTTCATTTCATAAATATTTATCTTAAAATACCTAATAATAGAACAAATAAAACTATTATTTGTATTTGTAATTTTGGTAACACTTTGCTTAAAGCCTTTTGTATAATGCATTATAAAGGTATTCATAATATACAGAGTAATGCTTATAATTAATTATTCTAATATATATATATAATTTTATTTTTTTCATAAATAGTTGTAACCAAATTTAAAATGCATTATAATATTTGTAGGTTTATTTGTCATGTGTTTAATGCATTATACTTTCTAATGGTGCAACAATGAATAGATAAGTATTATAATTGTTTCTAATTATTCATGAGATCATGCAATGCATTATACAGTGCATTACAAGGCATAGTTAATGCATTAAAACTACTTTTATAATGCATTATATTGGATAGCTTTAAGTAGATTGTTAACCTTAATTGTTTTGCTTTCCTTTACTTCAATTGAGTGCATTAGTGAAAATGGAGGAAGAGTCAATATATGTATCATTTTTTATTTTATTTTTATTTTTTTCCATGTGGTAATCAACAGCATTATGTTGTACATAGAGCATAATTTCTATTTAACCCCTAGTCTCATATGTGTGGTTGAATTTGTCAAATTTAAACCATCAATTATTAAAGTTTGTGCCAGTAATCATAAGCTAGATGCTAATGTTCTGTTATTGGCTGTTATGGAGGATGTCGCTATGAAGAAGGCAGATCATTGGGTAAGAACACTCTGATTGGAATGCCTAACAAGCACCTTATTATTTCATATCTTCACGTCTCTCACAAACATATCTTAAATGAAAATGCTGTAAATAAAGCCAGATTGTTCACAAAAGCAGACAGTACTTCCTGTGAGCCGCAAGATTAAATTATTCATAATTCATACTGCATAGATGATTTGTTCTTTTACTCAGAATGAATGTGATGTGATTTTTAATGTATCAGTGTTTATTTTTATTGATTTCCAATTTTATTCATAAGACTTTATAAAGGCTGGGGCTGTTGAATAATGTGTTGAATTATTTTTCAAAAGGAAAAGCACACGTTTGCTTACTTCACCAGCTGAACATCTCACCGTTTGTTTCTTGTTTGTGGGGGGTGTGTTTAATTGGCCATACGGTTATACAGGATTTGAATCTGAAGGAAAATAATATGCATCAATAAATCATGCAGCATCCTGGCAGGAGGAAGCAAGGTGAAATCTGCCACAGAGAAATCGCTAGTTATGATGCTCGTGTTGTGCATCCACACGGACACCAGCATAATCATTTCATCCCATCTCCATTTCCACCTTTCACCCCCTGCTATCCATCACTGACCCAACTCACCCACTGTCCTCCACCTTTCCAGGAACTGAAAGCCAGGATGTTTGTTTGTGTGTTGGAAATTAAATGACATCCAATCAGCTGTGTTCTTCTGTCCGCACAGAGATCCTTCTGCAGCGTCATGGTGGACGAGCTAAGGGTTTCCCTCAAGTGTCAGCGCCGGCTCAAACACAAACCGCAGCCGCCGGTCATGGTCAAAACGGATGAAGTCATCAACATGCACACCTTCAATGACCGAAGACTGCCAGGCAAAGAGACCATGGCTTAAAACGGACACCAGCTCGCTCTTTCTTGAGCTTGGACAAGGAAACTTCACGGGGAGAAATTTGGGCGGGGAGGAAGTCGGTTTTCTATACGGGGAAGGGATCTTAAATGTCATTTCAAACAATTAGTTACTGAAAACAACAGCAGAAACGGAAACACATTTCCTGTGGAAATAAATCGAGTCTGGGCAAATTTTTAGTTACCTCATCGCTCCAGATCACCAAGACTGACCGGTGCCAGCGTTCAGGGTAACTTTTAGCAGGAAATACACACACAGCTAGAGGAGTGTGACGGAAGGAGGTTTGTCTGCTCATTATGTTCATATTATTTTTGGTTTGATGACACCACACTTGGCTGTTGTCCATCCACAGAGAGCAGCTGCGTCCTTTAGAGAGAACGAGGAGACGCGTCCTGACAAATACAGAAGCAAAAGAAGGACAGGTTTTTAACACATACAGTATCTGTGCTACTTTTAGGAGCAAAAAAAAAAGTACTCTGAAACAATCAGTTCGCAGCACAGCAATATCACTGAAATCATTCAGCGTGCTTCACACCCACACTCGCAAGCAATGGAAGCAGGACACAGCAACAGGCAATATACCACTTTCATTTCTTTGCATTTCCAGGCCCCTGCTGAGTGTCACAATGACTAATGTGAACCTCACAAAAACATGTTCGACTCGCAACACATTTCGACATTTGTGTTTATTTTAAGCATATTAAAACCATTGCACAATTGAATATTTTCTGTCAAAATTTACAGTACCCTACAAAAAAGATCCGTTTTTGTTCAATTACAGTGAAAATATGTAAACATGATTAAAATAAGATACTTTTAATGGAGAAGCAACATTTCATAAGATGAGAGTTAAATTGTATGTGCAGATCTTTTTTTTTACTTTATTGTTTTTGTTGTTTTAAATGTGCAGACGACATAATACATCTGCATATTTTTTTTATTATGCTTATTAGTGATTCTATTCTACAGAATATAATATACAGAATATATAAATCAATCAGCATCAAACGCAGTACAACAAATGATAAAAATGAAAAATGTATTTTTATATATTACAGTAGTGAGTTTTTCTTTATTTTTAATTTTTTTATTTAATTTTTTTTTTTTAGTAAAGAGAGGTAAATGTGTTTTGAACTGTCATTACAATAATATCACAAAGGATAAATAAAAGTTATGGTTCTAAAATAGGCTTAATTTCATGTATGCTATGAAAAATATTGATTTTGATTTATTTACTTTAAATATGAGGTGAAATATTATCTGCTAATAAAATGTTTAACATTTCATGAGATTCATCTGAAAAACTCTCCAGAAATTAGTTGAGTGAACTCGAAACAAACTATTGTGATGCATTTATTCAAAACAATTTCATTTGGTTTATGAATGTTTTCTTATTTTTCTTTCTTTCTTTCTTTCTTTCTATGATGGTCACAGCAACTTTGAACACACATAGCTGAAATTAATATTTCATGTCTGTTATTTTTAATAACTACATTTCATTTCAGTTTAATGATTGTACTTTGTGAATTTGATTTCAGATTTCAGAATAAGAGTCCTCATGTAAACTTGTGCAAATGTAAGATTTCTATAAAAATAATAAGGTGTTTTGTACAATTAAAGAATATCAGCATTTTGTAATAATTTTTATCAACACAAATCAATCATTGGCATATCTCTCTTGATACGGGGGTGGCAGCCCTGTGGAATCCACACACCAGAATTTAAAGTCGCGATGGCCCCTGGGACCGATGCGCTTCCGCATGGATGAGCCCCATGTGACGTAACACATCCAGGATCACATCACCTGGCCTCCATGAGGACGAGTGTGCGCCAGGGTTCATGATAGATGCACACAGGACGGGGGAAGTGCCGAGCATGCCTGGTAGTGTTGATGTGACACTCATTTTGGACAGATCCTATTTTTATCATGTAAAGGAATCATATTTAAAGAAAGATATTTTTACTTGAGATAAATAGAAACAACAAAACTGATACAGAAGTGTGGTATAAAATGGAAGAGGACTGCTCATATGCTTCATATTCAATGCCCCCGGTTTCTAATAGACTGCTAGTACTCAGTGCCGAGAAGTTGTGTGTAAATGGTTTCAAATGGATAAGATGTATTTAAAGATTTTTCAGATACAAACTAATTTTGACCATATTGTGAAAACAAAACGAAGTGCACACAGTTTCCTGTCTGAAGTTGATGCACAAGTTTAAAGGAAATAATTAAAAAAGTCAGCACACTTGGTTGTGGTCTCCTTTGTGTTCCCTCATTCCCAGCTCCACTTACAGAAACACTAATATATATATATATATAGCAACATTCAGTATATAGTTAGATTTCTTAATCGATTTAATAATTGTAAAAAAAATAGGCTGCAATTTATAATTGTATTTATTATTATTTTTAAAATTTATATTAAATGTAGAGCTACAGGGCTGTGTTTATCTGCATTTAACAACAGATTCAAACTGAATGTAAAGTCAGTCCTTTTTTTTTTTTTTTTTTTTACAGTGTGCATTTTTTCAGTAAGCTTGCTGTTTTTTTTTTTTTACGAATGAACAAAACTTGACAAAAAAATTACCCTCTAATTTATTTTATTTAAAAAAACTAATGAATAGTTTACATAGTTGCATAATTTTATATCACTGACCAATTGAATATTCAATATATTGGCCAGTCCTACTTGTAAGTATGTGAGTTCTTACCATGCTCTGTGAATATGGTCATTTCTCAGGATTTTCACAGATACCCGTGTCTCTCCGAGGAACACATCCTGTGCCAAGTTACCATTATTCCACAGCTCCACCCTGCATGGAAGAATACAAGAGAGCACGCATTAGCTAAATGTTCATTTACGAACACACATACACAAACAGAGCTCTGTTTCAATGTATTTAACACACGTTTGAACTTCTCCCATTCAAACTGAATCTGAAATTCAGCACGCAGAGCACAGATGCAGTTGCATCAAAGTGGGTTAGTCATTTTTCTCTCCACTACTCAATGAAGCTTTTTTCTCATATCAAACATGCACACAAATATATTGCCTTTGAGTGGAAAATAAAAACCACACCAAAACCATGCATAAACACACACACGCCCACCCGTCCACCCACACACACATTAGTGTCATGAACTAATGTGCCGTCTGGTGGTTTCACCTACTCTTACCTGTCAGCTTCTGCAGAGGGCTATATGGGACAATTCAGAGTGGCACATTACGTGTCAAATCAGATCAAAGCCACATTCATCAAAACATTTGTGACAGAACATACATTCGTCCAATCAAATAAGCACTCGCTCCTGATTATCATAATCATCCACAAACAGTCAATATGTGCAGTTATATGCTGTTTTTTTTTTTTACAGTCAAAGCATTTATCTGAAGAAGCTTACTTAAAGTACTTAACTGTAATTAAATCTTCTGGGTTTAGCACAGGTTAAACTCAATCAACGGCATATGTGGAATAATTTAATTTCAACTTAAAAAAAATAAATAAAAATACAAAATCTAAGCTACATTGAGGTGCTTACAAGGAAGTGAAAGAAGCCTAATCTTTAAACATTAAAATAATCACTGTTTTAATAGTGTAGCTATGAGATGTAAACAATATGTTTTTTCTATGATTTTATTGTGAAAATTGTATTGCCATGACAACATAACACTTAAAATAAATAAAAAAACTAAAATAATTGAATTTATCCTGAATTAAAAGTAAACGAGGGAGTAAAAGAAAATTTGTGAATCCAAAATATTTATTTGTTTGTGGTAATCAACTTTGTACCCCAAATATTCCTTTTCACAGGAAGTATCTGTTGAATAATGAGATAAAGCAGTAGGCCTACAATACTATATACAAAATCCTTTGCCAAATTCTTCTTATCCTTTTGTCAAATACTATTCTTTATCCATTTGTCAATAGTATAAGGGTGAAGTTTACATTTTTTTCCGAGGCATATTTCAGATTGAAAGTAGTCCATGCTGAACATATCGAAGAGTTCAAAAATAATAAAAATAGAAAGAAAAAAATAATAATAAACTGCCTGCAGCATTTAACATCTTCCGACAGTTATATTAAAAATTAAGTCTAATGTCAAATTTACACTGCAAAGGTACCATAGAAGCACTTCTGAAGTGGTATTTAGGTGTCTTTACACAGACTGGTAAATGCTGCTCAGAGGTGGCATGAATGCATTTACACACCAATTACAACTGTATACTATAATTCTAGGGGCTGAGGTGGGTCTGTGCAGGCATAATTTAGTCTGGCTTTTATTCTGTATTACATCTTTTCACTGAATTTTGAGCAGGAACAGAGCAGCCTTAAATGAGCTGTGTAAAGAGACCTAATAGATTCACCCTTTAGATATAAAACTGTTACTACAGTAATTGTTATGATGTGTAGTTTGAAAAACTTAATGTCGGTTCTTGCCACCAGAGTTGCAGTATCTATTGTGCTCATCAGTGCTGTTTATAATGCCGTGGCTGTTCATTTGCTAGGTGTGCTCTCCTCTGTAGCCCTTTAAAATATTGCATTCAGTGTAGAATTCAACTGGGTCGGATAGGTTTTGTGGTCCACGTGAATCACTGTGTGTGCTGTGGAGGTTCAAGTGACATTGACCCCGAAAGAAAGCATAATCACACAGTTTCCTGAATTTATATCCTCTGTATAGTGCACTATGTGCCACTAACCTCATAGGAAATAGTAAATGTGTGATTTCAGAGGCAGATTTAGCATAATTTCACAGTGTTGGGGGGCAGGAAGCTTCAGATTCTGGAGAGCATTTGGCCAGAAATTCTGATGAGAAGTCAAAGGCTGGAATGATGTCATCAAAGCTGTTGATCTGCATTGGCGCTAGAGAGAGACTGTACATTTGCAATGCACATATATTCAAAATTTAAATTTCATCATTATTTTAGAGAGCACTATATGAGCTTATAGCTACCCGGTCTCATGGCAAATACGTACCTGGGGGCAAATTTTTGCAAGACACGAAATACGTACCAATAAGTATATATCACTGCAGTTTCCAAAAAAAATGAACACTAGAGGCAGTAAAACTCCGACACCTTTTAAATAGTTTTCACACAGAGTATGATTTACAGAGTTTCGATTAATAAAGCGTATTTTTCGCACAATTACTTGAAGAGTATTATGTTGTGACTTCAAAACATTTTTAATATGCTGGGAGATTTGAAAACTGATGCTTATGATTGTTAGCACCGCACATATCCAGCTTCATATCAATGGGTTTTCATAGAGGGTAGGTTTGTTCGGTAGCTCACGGAGTACAGAGACGTACGCAGAAATGTACGCAGAGGTACGTATTTTTATGAGACTGGGTTGGCTTATAGATAAGACTAACATATTCATACTAAACTTCAAATTAGATTTTACAGCTAAGGTAGGCAATTCTAGGAACACAATTCAGGAACAAAAAGACAAAATTCAAAGACTTGCCAAAATACGTAGAGCCAGACAACAGGGTAACACAAGTGTAAACACTGGCAGTGTTTTACACGATGGAGGAATTTGATGTAATGTTTCGGTTCCAATCGATTCGACAAGTTTCTTCTCGACTGGTAAGCTAAACTTCAAGTTAAAAGTATTCCTAATATGTTGGACCTTTTATTGAAAGTAGCCTACTTTCGTGACACGGGAAAGGGGTGTTTGTAAAGATTGTTTGAAAGCTTTGTTTTAGTAGTTCCGCTATTCGATTAGTACCACATTAACTGTCTACACTAGCTTTAATGGGGACTTAAAAATGCAGTTAGGCAGTCCACAAGTGTCCACCAATGACCTTTCAAGGTTTTTTTTTTTTTTTACTGTAAATAAACAGTAAT